TTTCAACCGTTGCGTATATTAGCTGCGACACATGAATCAAGATGCTATGGCTGAAAACATTTTATTGACAGATGAGCGTTGATATATGATTGGCCCAATTAAGGTGTATAAGCTGACATATAACTAACTGGCCTGCATAACATAGTGGGAAAAAAAACACAGATTTTAAGACAGGAATTTTTTTTTAATAAAACTTTTTTCTAACTTTTGGGACAATATGGTCTGATAAAGAATACATTTATATACATGTTTAAGCCAGAATGATTTAAAATTTAAATGACTTCCCTAGGCCTTTAAATGTAGTCCTGTACAAACACGCACAGAATTATCCAAACAATTTGGAAACTAGCATGTCGAAATGCTGAAAAATAAACAGCTTCTCCATAGCATGATGCAGCCACTACCGTGTTTGAGAATAGTGTTTTTATGAATGTAAGCTGCAAGGGCATTTTTCACATCTCCTGCCTTCCCTTAATGCTTTGGGACAAACGGTTAACAGGACTTTTACTGTCTTTCTATAAACATCAATTTTTTAGTTTTTTGTGATACTGTCTAATAATCTAATTAGGGATACATTAAAGTTGATTAATTTTTTTGATCGATAAACAATAAATTGATTATAATAGGTTTTTTATCAGTTTTCTTTTATATCAAGATGAACTTTCTATTAACATAAGGGCCTTAATATGTTTTTAACAATATGGTGAATTTAAAAAAGCAAGGCAGCACTTTATTTTAACCGATTTTTGTGTCAGCTGACTGTATAAACAAAAAAACTGTTTGCTTTTATTTTGCTATGAAGCTAGATGTATAAAGAGTATATACACAGTATATATATATATACAGGAACCAAATAGATTACTGAATAAAATCATATATTAAACATTTAATTTCCAATTTAAAGAGATATTAAACTATCAAAAGAAGACAGGTTATGATGATCCGACTATTTATCACTTAGTTTCAATAAAGAAACACTAATTGTGATATAACTTCTGCTTTCAGCAAAATCCAGGAAATAGTGCTGGAATAGACTTTATGCTGCCAGCAGCACCTTTAAACAGGTGGTTGAATTGTTAGGTGATTATTTAAGCAGTTTATTAAGTGTTTTTATTTACAAACAGAACAACTTTAATTTGTTTCTGCATCCTGATCTCCATTTAAGAGTGAAAATTTTCCAGGAGTAGAGTTTTCCATCTGAAAAAGTTCTGTAATTGATGCAGAATTGGGTTTATGTGCAGCAATGGTGTCTTCTATCCATTATTTGACATAAAGTGACGGTTTGGTAAAAACTGATGATGCCAACTGTAGCTAATTTAAACTATGTGTACAGAATTATTCACCCTGCATTTTTAAAACATCTAATCTCCTAATTAAGCTATTATAACCATTAAATATAGTTCTGGTTTATTTTTTCCCTGTCCCTTTAAACAATAAGACATAAACCTATTATTATGTTTGATAGAATGAATATTAGCCTTAAACTGTTGCAATAATCAATTTCTAGAACAAAACCGACATCAATACGAACTTAAACAACAGTCGTATAGTTTGTTTTAGATTTGGATTGCAAAAAGAACATTTCAACACAGTGTATTTTTAATTATTTCAATATCACATTATTACATTTAGACTTATAAAGCAGAAAAAAGCAAAACGTTTATTTTCCTTTTATGATTTCAAACAGAAATACATCAATAACAAACTGTATATGGAATAAAAAGCTGACCTATAAATCTATTTATGATGGTAATATTTTTCATGGAGACACATTAGAAAGTGGGAAAAAGAACCATCTAATTTCTAGCTGACCACAATGAACAGTGACATGATTGACATCTTTTCAGGACGTGTGTCTGGAAGGAAACTCTCACCTCTCTAAGGCCTCCCTCACCAGCTCCTTTGCACAGGAATGAGTGGTGGCCAACACGCTCTTGTAGTGGGTCCCCTGACAGATATCGCTGCCGAAGATCTTCAGGATCCCAGGCACAGATAACTGGCTGGAAAGCTCGGCGGGGTCATCAGCAGCCTGGTGCTCTCCGGTCAGGCTCCCGCTGCCCCTGGTCAGGCCGCGTCGCCCACCGTCCCGGAGGTTGGGGCTGTGGTTGAAAACCGTTGAAAGCCTGTTGTTGTGACGCCTGATTTTGCTCTTGGCCGGTTGCCGGACACCGACGCTCTCTGCAGAACGGACGGTGCTGTCCGACTTGTTGGACCTAAGACCAGACAGAGGGGGAACAGGTCAACACTCGGCAGGTGGTTGTGGCTCCAGATTCACTGACGCCGGCAAAGTTTATAACTGAACATTCGGTTGACAAAGCAAAAAAGTATTTCTTTAATCGAGGATATTTTAATATATCTGTTTTTTTTGATTGTCAACACTTTATTCACAACAATTTGGACAGCTCCCAACAAAGTTTCTACACATTTTCACTCAGATAGTAGAATATAAGTAGAAAATGTTTTTCTTAAACAGCTTTTTCTTCTCAATTTCTCTCAACCTGGGAAGAATTTAAAGCTAATAGCTACATGTTTTACTCCTCATGGCCAGTAGGAGGAGCGCTCAGGTTGGCCTGCCCTCATTCTTTACTTTTTGCTAGCCTGTTGATTGGTCTGCTAATGCTAAACAGAGGTTAGCATTGCTAAAATCAAGAACAGACAAGAAGCAACATCATTGACATCTATCACCACCAAAGACGATGAGAAACGGTGGCGAACGTTCCCCAGAGACGCCACCCGATGAAATCTACAACGAGGTGAATTGGTGAATCAACCAGGATGCAACAAAAGCCTAAAAGCTTTACTGGCCTCACACACCTTGGCAAAGGTCAGAGTTCATTATCCAACAACAGGAAGGAGCTTCCCTTCTCAGATGAAAACCAGAACTTACACCAAAAGAAACACATCATACAAAACAAAAAAAACATCCTGATGATCCAAAGATTTGGAGGAAAATATCCTTTTTTTTGAAACAGTTGGGTGAAAAATTTTGGGCTGTGTGTTTACACTTACATCTGGATATTAAAACTAATAGAGATAAACCGATGTAGGACTTTTTTTAAGGCCGACGATGATACAGATTATCAGTCTGACTAATCCCTTAAAAGTGCAGCCAAATTTTTTTAGGCTGATCTTTGAAGCCAATATTTATTTCTCCTACAGCATTTACATGATAAAAATGAGACAATGAAGACAAAAAGTGGAACAAATCCCAATATAAACAAAAAAGGAAACATTAAGGAAGGATAGTTAATGGAGGAAGTGATCTTAAGGCAATAATCCTCTGTATGTGTAGAGGAAGCACATTACAGCGACAGTCCAACACGGCAGAAGTAGTATTATGGTCTGGGGCTGCTATGATTTAGGGCAACGGTGTAAGCTCACATAGGGCAACTGCTGCATTACAAGTCTTCAGAAGGGTTGGTCTGGCTGTATAAATGAAACTTCTAATTTCATTATTTCATCTACACGCTGCTCTATATAGAAATATATTTTTTCCCAAATTATTTGGCAGTTTTAGCCAAATTTTACACTTTAAAGGAAAATGTACTTTAAGTCACTTTATATCATGATGCTGCTCCTTTTTGGCTCTTAAGGGCCTGATAAACTACCATGACTGGCCAGATTGGACCTTTGGTTTGAGACATAAACTTTGGGACTTTGACGACTCACATTTCATAGCACTGCTCACTTTCAAATAATCAGTTCATTACCTAAAGCTCACTTGGATTATTTAGCATGATGATGATCCAAAAAAACCAACAGGCCCTCTGCTGATGCAGTTTGGAAAGGTTCTAGTTTGGCGTAGTTTAGTCTAGATTTAAACCATGACGCACTTTGACACCTGAGGTAAAACCTGTTCAGGTTCCAAACTTAAATCCCTTGATTGCAGAAGGATTTATAACAATTCTGCAAAAAAAACCTCGACAATGACAGAAAATACTAATTTTTAGCCACAGTAAACGCTTGAAGAAAGTTTTTGTGGAAACCTTTAGGGGGTTAAAGTAAAGTAAAGCTCGAAAAACAACCTTCAGAGCTACTATGGTGCAGCTTCTATCTGCAATCCTGCTCTAACAAACCTGATTCAACTAAACTGGCTCCATACCATGCTTCTCACAAACTTGAGGGCAAGCAAAAGACTAATCTAGTTCATTTAGGTTGGAGGAGGGATGCATGTAGAAGTTGCATGCAGGGCATCTCTACATGTTTAGATCAGCTTGCAGAGATGGGGTCACAATATGAAAACATCTATAAATGATTCTGTGAAGAAATCTTGTTTTGTATGATTAAAATGTTTTTGATTGATTTACTTTATTGATCTCACAGTGGAACAATTTACTTGTTTTATCAGCTCTAATAGTCAAAAAAGAGAAGAAAAAGGAATGGTATAAATACAGTATTCACAATGCATCCACATATGATATCAGGGGTGACAAAAAAAGAAAAAGTTAACTAATTTATACATTTTATTTCAGTATAATATGAGAAAAAAGTCTGAATTCTGAAATTAAAGTCAGAATTCTGACTTTTTTCTCATATTATAGTGAAATAATATTTAAAAATATATAAATCAGTTAACTTTTTCTCTTTTTTTCCAATGTCCCTAATCGTCTTCCGTACATCACAATACTAAAGGTCTTTTCCACCAAATATTTTGACCTTTGATCGACTTTTTTTCCAATTTTTCCGTCCAATAATGATCTTACAGTTTCAGATGAGTGAAAAGCAGCTCTGTGTATTTATTAGCAGACTTACTGCAGGGATCCATTGCTTGGTTTCCTCCCCAGTTTGGCCAGGCGCCTCTTGGGAGAGCGGATGAGCAAACCCACAGGAAAGTTTAGGGCTTGTTTATTTACATGGCTGCTCCTCTCCTCCGAAATCATTGTTTGCTTGTTGTTTTTTTCAGCCTCACAGAAACAAGAAGGGATGACGGAGAGGACCGATGCGAGCAGCGGGTAGCATTGTCCCCTCGCGCCGCCGCTGCTTGCTAGCTCCGGTCGGAGGGGAGAAGTTTCTCAAAAAAAAACAGCAAAAAAGTTCACAGAACTTATGATTTTCCTCCAAAGATAAAATAAAAATCAAAAAAGCAGAGAGAAAAGTTCTCCTACAGCCCCGCCGATACCACCAAGCGGACCGTTATCCAGTTTTAACCGACATTCCTTCACGAAAAAAAGAGGAAAACTAAAACCTTTTCGATGTTTTACATTAAATGGATTCCAAAACGCAAGAAAAGTTGTTTCTTTTTTTCATTGAAGCAACCGGAGATAAAGTTGGTCTCCAGGAGAACCAGCGGTCCGTTCGAAGGGGAAAGTTTGTGGAGATGCGGTGGAATTACATCCCGGTTCATGCTGGGAGCAGTTAGGTCCGTTAGAGAGCGCAGCCTGAGCGGACTGGATGGAGCAACCTGCCGCTGCAGCCGGAGCTTCTCTGCGACGTCACCAGCGCGTGCCTCAAGGGGGCGTGGCTAAATCACACAGCGCTGTCTGTACCACAGGGGCCCCAATTAGTCCATTATGGCGTCCCACGATGCCCCTAATTAAAAACACATTAAATGTATTTATGTATTTTTAACTTTTAAGCAAAAAGCAGAATTATAATGAACCAAACAGACTACAAAAAAGGGCATCTGCAACTCACTGGAGAACTGTGGAGTATTTTCCTCTGTTCTTTTAAAATATATATATATTTTTGCTCTCTTTTGGTGATCTAGTAATTTTTTCTATTTTTTATTGGTCTAAAGAAAATGTTTTTTAGTACATTTGATGAAAAAAAAAGTTGCATGAGTAGTTTTCCATATTTGGTCAGGTTTAATGAATAGATGCGCCCATCCCTGTGGTTTTGTAAGAGTTGCCAAATGTTATTGGTTTCAGTTTCCACAACATTAAGATGAAAAAAACACAACAAAACATTATTGTGACCATCAAAACACAAAATCTTTGCAATTTATTTACCAAAAGGGACGGATTTAAGAAATTTGGGGCCCTAGGCAAAGACAGGCATGGGGCCCAATGAATTGAGAAGATAACACATAAAACAGATGCGTTATACAGATACAGAAAATGATAGTATAGACATACATTATTTGTTCTACCTTTATTCTCTCTCTTCTTATCCCTTTTATTACTGTTTTCCTCTGTTTTTCCTTTGTCACTTTTTCTTTTCATATTGACATTGTGCTCAGCTGACTTTTCATGCTGTCTCACAAAGAATCAAAGATTTTCCAATCAATAAGCCTACTCTAACTTAGCTAATTGCTCCTTCCTGTGTTTCCAAAAAGGCCAAAGTAAATAACCCAGTCCTTCTTTTCACTGTAGACAAGCCATGATCTGCTTATCTGTTCTCCATTTTTCATTGAAATGATATTATAGCTGCATGGATTATGACAGCAGACAAGACAGAGGAGAGCAGGAGGCGGGGTTACCAATTTCCTTGCTCTGGAGGGCAGAGTTCTCTGCTTTTATATGTAGTTGCCAAAGTCTCCAGTCACAGAAAAAGTGTCAAGATTTGCCGCTAAGCATTTTTTTTGTAATAAAAGTGCTAGAAGGGTCTGAAATTGTTAAATATAGCGACAAAAGTGCTAAGTTGGCAACACTGCTCTGCCCATCCGTAGTTTTCAAATTATTTGCTGCTGCTTGTTTGGACCTTTCTGCAAATACGGAGAAAATGGACCAATGTGGTGCACTTAATATTAGAAGCATTCTGAGGGCATTTTAAGGAAAGTATTTTTAATCAAAAACTGAATTAATGTGCACAAATCAGTAATACCTATATTAACCCTACATGTAAAAGTAGTTCTATGTGGCACCCAGGAACTGGGGGCCCTAGGCAACTGCCTAGTTTTGCCTAATGGTAAATCCGCCCCTGCTTACCAATTTGTAGTTTTAAAATATATAGCCTAATAAATATCAATAAAACTTGTGTCTCAACTTACGGTGCTGGTCCCCAGAATTCATTTTGCTGTCCAAATGTAATATAATCTGTGCGTAACTTCACCGATGTGGGAATTCCCAATGATTATTCCAGAATAACCTCATTAGCATTTCTCTTTTTAAATTACACCTATATACTTGTTCCCTTTCTAATTTTAAGTTTTAGAAATGTTGATGTTGACAGGTTTTGTAGATTTGGACAGAATTAAAAAAGATGCATCACTGATTTGTTCAGTTAAGATCCCTGATAGCATTAAATGAAACATTTTTCAAAATGTAATCTATAATAAATCCCAATGACATGATACTTAGAAAAAGAATGAAAAAAGAAAAAAGAAAAAAAATGCAGCATCTCTTATATATGCGGTTTCCCTCAGAGAAGCCGGGTTAAAATCCCTAATGCCTTGATTTTCAATGCAGGTGCTAAGGCTGTGGATTTAGCGAGGGATATTTGAGACAAAATTTAAAAACATGAAATTTCGGATAGAATAGAAAAGAATAGAATGAAATAGAAAATCCCTTTATTGTTCCAAAATGGGGAAATGATGGCGTCACACCAGCAAAGCCAAAGGCATTGTAGTAAAATGGTCACAGAAGTATAGACATTAAAAAGTATATAAATGAAAAACAGAAGTGAAGAAAAAATGTTAAAAATTAAAACATTGTACATAAAGCGAAAACTTGCGTTTTTAATAGAAATACTGTGCAGTCATTAACAAAGAATCAATAACCATAATATACAGCTGTGGCCATTTTTGAAATCAATGGATTTAAGAAATAGCAACAGCTGAAATGTAAAAAATGACAGCAGCATGTTATCTAAAGTCAAAAAATTAATAATACAGCTGTTTATATGCATAAATCGAGCGGAATACTATGGCGAAAGCCGTGCTGCTCTACTTGAGAAAGTAAAATCTTTTTGGCATCAAGACAATTATTCTTATTTCACATTGACAGAAAAGACACAATTAAAAAAAAAAGTGAGTCAAAAGGAAGAAAACAAAACTCAGCATGATTGAAAACACTCATTGGTGGGAGCAGTGATGGTTATGAAGTCTTACACCTGTTGGGAGGAAGGATCTGTGATAACGCTCCTTTGTGCATTTAGGGTGCAGCAGTCTGCCACTGAAGGAGACTCCAGTTCACCAACAGCTTCATGCATGTGGGGTGGGAGACATTATCTGACAAAAATGTTATTTTAGTCAGCCTCCTTCTGTTTCCCACCACCTGCACGGAGTCCAGGAGGGATCCTGGCACAGAGCTGTCCTTCCTGAAGAGC